CAGTCCACCTACTGTATCCTCTCTGAAGAGATTAAGATAAAAGTGCTTTTGATATATTGTAAACCTCAAACACAGCACAAAACTTTGTTTATCCTTTGACACATGTAAGTTAAAAAATTAAGAAAACATCATAATGATGAACTATTATAGAAGAATTTCTATGGAAGTGAGGAATAGGACAAAGATGCTTGCGTCTACTTATAATGGTCAATGAAATAATGTAAGAAATGAGAGAGTGAAATGTCGGAAAGAGACAAAGTTGTCACTATTTGCAGATAATATCATGGTCTGCATAGCTAACTCAAGAGAATCTGATGAACGATTAGAACCAACAAGAGAGTCCAGGTGTGGTGGCTCATGCCTGTAATCCCAGGACTTTGGGAGGCTGAGGCGGGTGGATCACCTGAGGTCAGGAGTTCAAGACCAGCCTGACCAACATGGCGAAACCCCATCTCTACTAAAAATACAAAAAAAATTAGCTGGGCACGGTGATGGGTGCCTGTAATCCCAGCTACACAGGAGGCTGAGGCAGGAGAATCGCTTGATCCTGGGCAGCAGAGGTTGCAGTGAGCCGAGATTGTGCCACTGCACTCCAGTTTGGGCGACAGAGTGAGAATCTGTCTCAATAATAATAAAAAAAGAACCAAGAGAGTTCATTAAGATGATAGATAACAGATCAGCACAGAAACAACTAGCATTTTTTCAAACTTACAATAACCAATTATCAGACGTAGTGGAAAAGGAAGCCACAAAGTGTGAAGAACTGCAATATATGGGGGAATGTACCTAAAACAAATGACAAAGCTTTAATGAAGCCCATACAAGAAGCCTGGAATACATGTAGATACATAACACATTCTTGAATGGTATGATTCATTATTAATTACTTTTTTTTTTTGAGACAAGGTCTCACTCTGACACCCAGACTGGAGTGAAGTGGCATAATTTTGGCTCACTGCAACCTTTACTTCCTGGGTTCAACTGATTCTCCTGCCTCGGCATTCCAAGTACTGGAATTACAGGTGCCCACCACCGCACAGGGCTAATTTTTGTATTTTTAGTAGAGACGGGATTTCGCCATGTTGGATAGGCTGGTTTTGAAGTCCTGACCTCAAGTGATTTCCCTCACCTCAGCCTCCCAAAGTGTTGGGATTACGGGCGTGAGCCATCACGCCAGGCTATGATTTGGTATTATAAAGATATCAATGAACTCCAAGTCTATCTATACATTTAATGCAATCTCAGTCAAGAGTATGTTTTACATGATGTTTAATAAGCTAATTAAAAATTCATCTGGAGGAGAAAAAATAAAGAATAGACAATAATTTGAAATAGGACATAAATAAGTGGGGGAGGAAGGATTAGTCTGACAACATATACAATAAACCGTTAGAAGCTCAAATCATGTGGAATTAGTACAGGAACATTAAAAAAGTCAATGGAAGAAAATGATTTTCAAAAATAAACCCATGCACATATGGGAGTTTCTATGACAAAGGTGGCATTTCTTCTCAGTGGGAGGAAAAGATGGAATATTCAGTAAATGGTTTTGAGATCACAGGATATCCAATTGTAAATAAAGTATATTATTTATCTCAGATCCTAATTAAAAATAAATTTAAACTATGTGAAATATTTCTACCTGAAATAGAAAAATCAGAAGAGTATTAGAAGAGCATATAGTAAAATTTTCCAAAAATAATATTGTAATAGGGACTTTTCCCCCAAAACAGTCATAAAACCTAGAAGCTATAAAAACCAAGAATGAATTTGATTATAGAAAATATTCTTTTTTTCTTTGCCTGCTTCATTTTTCCTTTATATGACTATATACGATTTTTAAAATTCATATGACAAATAACCATGAACAAAAGACAAGTGGCAAAAAAAAAAAAAAAACAAAAAAAAATAAATGACATGGCCGGGGGGAAGCGAAGATGGACAAGGGATCAAGTAGGATCAATTTAACATTAGATAAATACAAAATGGGGGGGGGGGCGATAGTATGGATGAAATGTAACACATGATATGAAACTGCATATGAAGAGCACTCCATTATATATTTTAAAACTCCTAGAAATCAACAACAAAAAGCAATCAACACGGTAGAAAATTACCAGAGGATATGAATAGACCATCCACAGAGTGAATAAATATGACCCTTAAACATAAAAAAAGCTCAACTGTCAAAATAATCAGGGATATCAAATTATCACAAATATCACCAAATCAAAAGAAATATTTTCTGCCCTTCAAACCGACAAACAACAGCAGCACTGGCAAGATTGTGAGGAAATAGATATCCATAAACTGACGTGATTAATAGTATGCTTTTTTCCATGCAATTTTGAGGTGTCAATCAAAATCCAAAGTGCATGTGCTCTTTCACTCATTAGTTCCACACACAGGAATATTTCTCGTAGAAATATTTTTACATATGAGCAAAAATATATTAATTGTGATGTTGTTTGTAGCACAAAAAGTTGAAAACAATTGAGTTCTCATCAATAAGAATAGTCAAGTAAATTTTTTTACATCCACACTATGTTGATGACAGCAGTTAAAAAAAGAAGGAGGTAAGGAAAAACTCTCCAAAATATACACTTTTTTTCAAGGCAGGGTCTCCTCCTGAATTTTTGCAAACTATGCATCCATCAGAGGTCTAATATCCAGCATCTATAAAGAACTTACACAAATTTGCAAGAAGAAAAAAGCAAACAACCCCATTAAAAAGTAGGCAAAGGAAAGGAACAGACACTTTTCAAAAGAAGACACACATGTGGCCAACAACCACATGAAAAAAATCTGTCACTGATCATTAGAGAAATGTAAATCAAAGCCACAATGAGATACCACCTCACGCCAGTCAGAATGGCTATTACTAAAAAGTCAAAAGCCAACAGATTCACAGATTCTGGTGAGGCTGTAGAGAAAAAGGAATGCTTACACACTGTTGGTGGGAGAGTTAATTAGTTCAACCATTGTGGAAGACAGTGTGGCGATTCCTCAGAGACCTAAAGACAGAACTATCATTCGACACAGCAATCCCATTGCTAGGTATATACCCAAAGGAATAGAAATTGTTCTATTGTAAAGACACATGCATGCGAATGTTATTGCAGCACTATTCATAATAATAAAGATATGGAGTCAACCTAATGCCCATCAAGGAAAGACCAGATAAAGAAAATGTGTACATATATACCATGGAACACCATGCAGCTATAAGAAAGGAGATCTTGTCTTTTGCAGGGACGTGGATGGAGCTGGAGGCCATTATTCTTAGCAAACTAATGCAAGAACGAACAGAAAACCAAATACTGCATGTTCTCACTTATAAGTGGGAGCTAAATGATGAGAACACATGGAAACATCGAGGAGAACAACACACACTGGGGCTTACTGGATGGCGGAAGGCGGAGGAGGGAGAAGATCAGGAAAAATAACTAATGGATACTAGGTTTAATACCTGGGTGATGACATAATCTGTACAACAAACCCCCATGACACAAGTTAACCTATGTAACAAACTTGCACATATACCCCTGAATTTAAAGTAAAAGTTAAAAAAAAAAAAAAAAGACAAGAGTCTCCCCTGTGTGGCCCAGAGCTGGAGCACATTGGCACAATTATAGCTCACTATAGTCTCAAACTCCTGGACTCAAGTATTCCTCCCGCCTCAGCCTCCCAAAGTGTTGAGATTACAGGTGTGAGCCACCAAACCCAGAAAACATGTACAAATGAATGAAAGAAAAAAGCAAATCTCAGAACAATACATATAAGATGGCCTTTAAAAATCCCCCAGACATGTATATATGTACGTGTTAGAAAGATATCTGGATCTCAAGAAGGGTACTTATTAGACTTCTGGGGGAGAGGACAGGAATGAGGGAGAAAAAGGAACTATCACTTTTTACTCGCTATACAATATGTATATACTTACAATGTATTGTATGGAAATAGTTTATAATGAGAATATGTTTGTTTACTACAAATGAAGTTCCATAAAGACTGCAAGGGTAGCCCACACTGAGGATGAAAAGGGCAGGGTCTCCATCATATGGACAGTCTAAAAAGCATCAGAACTGATTTTGCTGATCTGAAACATGTGCTAGTCCTGGCTGTGCTCTCCAGAATCATCTCTGTGCCCCAGATCTATGAAAGCATACTTCTCAGGCTTTAATGTGCATACCAATCGCTTGGGGGTCTGGTTAAGATGAAAATTCTGATTCTGTAGGTCTGGGGAGGACCTAAGATTCCACATGCGGAACAAGCTGCCAGACAGACGCTGCTGACGTCCATGGACACTAGCTGTCAGTCTGTGGACCACAGCATGAGTGGCTAGCTATTAGATGCTCTTTAGAGCCCCACAGAACCTGACGGGACTACCCACTCAAGACACTGCATTGTCCCCTCCCTAGTTCTTTCCCTTTTACTCAGTCCCCCTTCCCATAGTTTTCTCCTGTACTTTTCCCATTGTCTCCCTTGTTTCATCAGAAAAGGGACTGGGAGATTCATGGAGTCAGAATTGCTATCTTTTGCAGTCAAATTCTTTTTTTTTTTTTTTCTTTTTGAGATGGAGTCTTGCTCTGTCACCCAGGCTGGAGTGCAGGGGCGCGATCTCCGCTCACTGCAAGCTCCGCCTCCCGGGTTCACGCCATTCTCCTGCCTCAGCCTCCCAAGTAGCTGGGACTACAGGCGCCCACCAGCGCTCCCTGCTAATTTTTTTCATTTTTAGTAAAGATGGGGTTTCACCATGTTAGCCAGGATGGTCTCGATCTCCTGACCTCGTGATCCGCCTGCCTCAGCCTCCCACAGTGCTGGGATTACAGGCGTGAGCCACCGAGCCCGGCCCTTTTGCAGTCAAATTCTATAGGCCTGGTCCTTCATTTCAGCATCCCTGTTTTCTTCCCGAGTTATCTGTTCCCTTTCCTTTCCACTTGCCTTCCCCCTCTACCCTTGCCTAACCTGGATGATCTACACCCCTGGTGGACACTCACTTTTTACTGTGGGAGAGGCTCCCAGCAAGATGTGGGAGTTCACATTTTCAAGCGGTTCTGAGTTTTTCTGCATATCTTTGAAGGTTTTCATGTGGTTTGTTCTACCAGGATTGATCTGCATTCGGGCTCTCTGCCAAGCTACCATCTCCTTTTCCTTCTGAGGAAAGAGTGAGTTTTAGCTCTGTGATTCATCCCTTTTGGGAAAAATGGTTAGTTACATTTCCCTTTGCATAATATAATGAAATCATCTTCAGGATACAGGGCAGGTTGGCTCAAGCTCAGTTCAAACTTCTTCCTTCTCTTCTGAAGCAATCCTACCCCAGGGGTTGTTACATATATAGATTATGGATCCTGGAGTAAAGGGAGTTGGGATTTCTCTAGCTCTCCTTAGCTTTATGTAGGGAATGAGACAATGTCTAGCTCTGCCATTCTTCACCCACAATTATCCTTTTTGATTACAGTCTAGTATGGGTCACCTAATCCCAAGAAGGGCATAGCATGTGTTAAGCATGAGAGATACAGGAGGCCAGTTAAGCACCCCAGTGCTTCACTCTAAATTCTTTCCCACTGGTGGCATTTCACCCTTCCAAGTTCATTCACCACCCTCCCTTCTTTTCTTTGCCTTTTCTGGGTTCTGGCAGAATTTTCTCTGCTCCTTAAAACTTTTCTTGACTTGGAGAAATGACTTAACTGTTGTGAGCTTCAGGATCCTAATGCATAACTTTAGGGATAATGTATAACTTTGAAAACCAAGGGAACTTTTCTGTAATGGGAAACTTACCAAACAAGAAGAAAAATCTCTACATCATCAATTGCTATAAGAAAAGGGCAAACTCTGACGAAGCATTAAATCAGTGTTATTTCTTCCCAGCCCTGAATTTTGTTTCTTCCAGAGTGTTACCATCCCTTATTGTCTCCATCAAGGAAAAATATGTTGATTCCTCAAACTTGCTTGTCTTTTTTCTTCCTTGAATGTCTATAGCATTTGTGACAGTTTCATTTAAATATACACTCAGATAAATGCTTTCTTTCATTCTGTCCAGGAAAGTTTGCCCCACTTAAAATTTCTGGTACTCACCAAAGACAGGAAACTTGCAGTATCAAAGGGATTTTCGTCAATGAAATAGTAGATTGGGAGCACTACTGCTGTTGCAATAATGATGAGTTTCCATAGAAAATCTCTCATGGTGCTGGGGTTGGAAACTTGCAGAGCTGTTTCCCGATCTGTGATCCTTCAGTGTATTCTTGGATGTCTGAAATGTACACACTACTGAGAAAAGTTTTCATCTGATGGTAACATAAAAAAATTCAAATTACAAGATTATCAAAAATATCAAATTATAATTATCATTGAATAAGTATAGTTTCCAAAGCCAGTAATATTAAACCTGGGGTTCTTATATATATTCTTAAGAATCCTTAATGATTTTTTTCCCCTTAAAAACAGAGCTATGCCTTTCTTACGTTTGAGAAACACAGATGTATAAAAATGCATGCAAAGTGCCCTTAATATCACAGCTTCAGTTGCCCCCACTCTTGCCTGCAAGTCTCCATATCCATTCCTTCATTTTCCTTCTTCTGGACACCAACATTTAATTAAATTTCCAGAGCTCTTTCTTACCTTGATTGCCCCAACTCCAAAGTCCCTGACATGATTTCTGCCAAAGGCAAGGTGAAGAGAAGAGACCTTGATTCTGTTTTAATAGGAGTTTCCAAGTGCATTATAGAGAACATTTCTTATTCACACATTTGAACCAGACAGCATTCATCGAGGAGGTAAGGAAGGCGTGATGGGAATAGAGAGGGTGTGATCTCTAATGAGTATTTGTAATAGAAAAATCTTGCAAGAGCCTATTGACTCCTTCACCCTACTGACTCTCTGGAGTCAGGAAGATATTTTTGCAGACTTTACTCTAGTTTGTATATATATATCCTACATTAAGCATCATGGAATGTTCTAGAAGGAGATATCTGAAGCCTTTAATTCTCTCTCCCCTCCAAGTTCTATCCTTTCCAGAGTGCCCACTGTGCCCTGTCTACCACTAACTCTTATGTTCCATACAGATGTCGATTTGGCTCATGTTGAGCCAGTTCTGTGAGGTGGAAATCTTTATCAGTTGCTAAGCACCCTCTTCCTCATCTCTTTCTACGATCCTCGATGGGATCAGAACACACTGAAGCCATATCCAAAGGCTGTAGCTCCAAGAAGAAAAGACAGTGTGTTATTTTGTCCTTTCCAAACCTGAACCTTGAGCCACCATTTCCTCTCGTATTTAGATGTGATAGTCCTATGTTCCCACAGGTTTTCCTGCCTGATGCCAGAGACTGTTTTTCCTATATATCACTGCTTCTCAGGGGCTTTGGGAGCAAACTCAGATTCTTCCAGGGCAGTCCTCTCCATTACGTGAAGTCTGGACCCTTTTTGGTTAGGCATTCATCTTTCATGACTCTTTTTCATGTCAGTTTCTTTTGTTCTTCTAGATGACTCATGGAACAAAACGTAGACATGGCACTTCTAAGCACTTGTTAAGGACCTAAGGTAGGTGATGAATGGCATCAAGTCAGAGGTCCCAGGGACAATTTCCCTTTCTGACATGAAACTTCCAGTCCCCCAGAACTTTTGAGGGGACAGTAAATAAGGAGATTGAAAAGGTCCTCACCTTGACTGGAGTTGTAGTTTCATTTGAGATTTTTTTTTTTTTTTTCCCCTGGATGCACGGCGACTGACCTGACCTCTATACCACTTGAATGTTCAGGGCTTTCCCCAAAGTCAAGAAGAAGAAAATAAAATGTTTGGGGACCCTGGGATGGGGCCAGAAGGTGTATGCATCCTCTGAGGCAAGACAAAGTTAGTCAGATGACACCCCCTCCCATGACAACCATTGTTCTCCCTGAATGGGGGCTGATTACCAACACCCAGTCTCACAGCCAGCACCAGCTCATTGTGGAAGGAGATGGTGAGGAAGATCTAATATCAGCTTCCTATGATTCTGAACTGGATCTAGGGTTGTGGACTGTAAGTGGTCACATTTTTCTCCAAATAAAAATAGTTTTGGCAGGTCACGATGGCTCACACCTGTAATCCCAGCACTTTGGGAGGCCGAGGCTGGCGGATGACTTGAGGACAGGAGTTAGAAATTAACCTGCCAACATGAGAAAATCCCGTCTCTACTAAAAATACAAAAATTAGCTGGGTGTGGTGGCGCACACCTGTAATCCCAGCTACTTGGGAGGATGAGGCAGGAGAATCACTTGAAACTGGGAGGCGGAGGCTGCAGTGAGCTGAGATCATGCCACCGCACTCCAGCTTGGGCAACAGAGTGAGACTCTGTCTCAAAAAACAGAAACAAAAACAAAAAAAATAGTTTTATTGATATTTTTCTCAATTATGAATATAATACATGTTTGATTAAAACATTAAATCAATTACAAGAAAAAAGAGTAAAAATGACTCAAAGCAATGACCTCTTCTTAATATCTGGTGAACATCTTGAATCTGTCAATCAAGGAAAATGACCTAGGCAAGTCTCAGTCATTTTAGGAGGTTTATTTACCCAAAGTTAAGGACACGTGCCTGGGAGACAGGTCTATGCTTTTCACCAGAGATAATTTTGAGGGCTTCAATATTTAAAGGGGAAAGGGCAGGATATAGAGAAATACACAATTTTCATGTGAGGGGGGTAGGGGAAAATAGTCATTAATGCCTTTGGCCAAGTGAATCTGTATTTTTACATAAGATAGCGTAGACAATAGGCAGAGGAAACAATCAGATATGGATTTGTCTCAGGTGGGCAGAGGGATGACTTTGAGTTCTGTTCTATGTCCCCCTCTACCCAGCACCTGTGAAAATAAGCCATCAATTTACATTGCCATGGTGAACTTTTAAAGGAAGCTTTTTAGGGTAAAGATCTTGGGACTCACAAGTGGGCAAAACGTGGGGGAGGTATGTGGCTTTTCATTTCTGTTGCCATTTTACTCAGGAACAAAAATGGCAGGCAGGTTTGCACGCTTCAGTTCCCAGGCTTGACTTTTCTCTTTGGTTTAGTGAGTTTGGAGTCCCAAGATTTATTTTCCTTTCACAAATAAAAATGAGAAGGATGGATGCAAATCAAATATGGCAACAGAGGTCAAGTGACTCAGAAGCTCTCCAACAGTGTCATTTGAGCAACACAACTTCTCAAGTGTGGTGATTTCTCGGGGAGTTCAGGGAAGAAATAAATCTGTCTCCACAAGTGGACCATTTTCAGTTTTCTTGGGCAATTTCTAATTCTCACTTATTCCAGACATGCTGTCCTTTTCCCCTAAAATTTTCCACCACTCCTCTTTATCTGTTGTCTTCCTTATTGTCCTTAATAATTAATATCCTAAGTCTGTCTTTCCCAGCGCTATTCCTCGCACCCCACCCACCATTCCAAGACTGCTCTGGAAAGCACATACCATTAGCTGCTATCTAAGGAAAAAATGATGGCAATATAATGCGATAATTTTTATAAGTCCAGAATTGCAGTATGCACTTGTAAGACAAGTTCTTTCAAAAGAACTAGATCTGAAAGAAGAATTAATTTTTTTTTCTTGGTAATGATGTTGCTTTAATAAAGTCACATGCCCAGAATATGTTCCAGTTTCTCTCTCCCTTTTCCCTCTTCTTCTTTGGTTCCATATTTTCCATCCTCCGTCTTCTTCTTCTTGATCTTTATCTCCTTCCTATTCTTCTGCTGCTTCTCCTGGTGGCCAAGGAACACTCCTTAAAAGAATGATGTAGAGAGCGCCTGGCACAGCCTCAGCCGCCGGAAGCTGCGTCCCGCGGGGCGCGAGGCTGCCGTGGTGCAAGTGGCAGAGGCTGGGGCGCCGCTCCTCGGAGGGTGCCCGCTGAGACCTACCCTTTGACGCACCTTCCCTGCGGATTGGGGTCTCCGTCTCAGAGCAAGACTGGGCCCAGCCGCGAGCACGGTAGGAGGCAGGGTGGATGTGGCAACGACGGTGGTGCGATGGTAGCCCCGGAGGAGCCTGTCCACTTCTTGCATCTGTACAGCCCCTGGTGCAGATTTGGATTCAGAGGTTGGGTATTTAAAGGACATTATCATGGATAAAGAATTCTGGGTATTACAGAGATTTCATAGACAAGTACTGTCAGGAGTTTGAAGACGCAGAAGAGAATAATCACCTGTGGTGCCTTAAAAAAAAATTTTTTTTTTGAGATAAAAGTCTCGCTATGTTGCCCAGGCTGGAGTGCCGTGGTGTTATCAGGGCTCACTGCAGCCTTGACCTCCGGGCTCAAGCAAATCCTTCCATGTCAGCCTCCTGAGCAGCTGGGACTACAGGTGCACGTGGCTACTTTTTATTTATTTATTTATTTTAAGGGACCGAATCTCACTATGTTGCACAGGTTGGTATCAAACTCTTGGATTCAAGCAGTCCTTCCACCTCAGCCTCCCAAAGTGTTGGAATTAGAGGCCTGAGTCACCATGCTTGGCTATGCTGCCAATTTTTTAAAACTTTTATTTTAGGTTTGGGGTACACGTGCAGGTTTGCTATGGAGGTAAATTGCCTGTCATGGGGATTTGGTGTACAGATTATTTTGCCACCCAGGTAATAAGCATAGTATCTAATAGGTAGATTTTCCATCCTCACCCTCCTCCCTCCCTCTACCCTCAAGTAGGCCCAGGTGTCTGCTGTTCCCTTCTTTGTGTCCATATGTTCTCAGTGTTTAGCTCCCACTTGTAAGTGAGAACATGTGGTATTTCATTTTCTGTTTCCGGGTTAGTTCCCTTAGGAAAATGGCCGCCAGCTCCATCCATGTTCTTACAGAGGACACAATCCCGTTCTTCTTTTATGGCTGCAAAATGTTCCATGGGGTACATGTGCCATATTTTCTTTATCTAGTACAACATTGATAGGCATTTAGGTTTATTCCATGTCTTTGCTGTTTTGAATAGTGCTGCCATGAACATATGTGTGCAAAACCGAATAATGGGATTACTGGGTCAAACAATAATTCTGCTTTGAGTTTTTTGAGAAATTGCCAAACTGCTTTCCATAGTGGCTTAACACTCCCTAACTAATTAACACTTCCACCAACAGTGTATAAGTGTTCCTTTTGCTTTGCAAACTCACCAGAATGTTAATTTCTGACTTTTTAATAGTAGACATTCTGACTGGTGTGAGATGGTTTCTCATTGTGGTTTTGATTTGACTCTGATGATTAAGTGATGGTGAGCATTTTTTCATATGCTTCTTGGCCATGTGTATGCCTTCTTCTGAAAAGCGTCCATGTCCTTTGCTTACTTTTTAATGGGGTTGCTTTTTGCTTGTTGATTTATTTAAGTTCCTTATAGATTCTGAATATTAGACCTTTGTTGGACGTGTAGTTTGCAAATATTTTCTTCCCTTCTGTAGGTTGTCTGTTTACTCTGTTGATAGTTTCTTTTACTGTGCAGAAGCTCTTTAGTTTAATTTGGTCCCATTTGTCAATTTTTGTTTTTGTTGCAATGGCCTTTGGCATCTTCATCGTGAAATCTTTGCCAGGTCTTATGTCCAGAATGATATTACCTAGGTTATCTTCCAGTGCTTTTGTAATTTTAGATTTTCCATTTAAGTCTTTAATCCATCTTGAGTTTGTTTTTGCATATGGTGAAAGGAAGGGGTCCAGTTTCAGTCTTCTGCATATGGTCAGCCAGTTATCCCCACACCATTTATTGAATAGGGAGTCCTTTTCCTATCGCTCGTTTTTGTCAACTTTGTGGAAAATCAGATGGTTGTAGGCATGCAGCACTATTTCTTGGCTCTCTACTCTGTTCCATCGGTTTGTGTGTCTGTTTTTGTACCAGTACCATGCTGTTTTGGATATGGTAGCCTTGTATAGTTTGGTAACGTGATGCCTCCAGCTTCTTCTTTTTGGTTAGAATTGCTTTGGCTATTCCACTTCTTTTTTGGCTCCATGTGAATTTTGAAATAGTGTTTTTCTAACTCTGTGAAGAATGTCATTGGTAATTTGATAGGAATAGCATTGAATCTGTAATTTGCTTTGGGCAGTATGCCATTTTAACAATATTGATTCCTCCTGTTTATGAGCATGGAATAGTTTTCCATTTGTTTGTGTAATCTCTGATTTCTTTAAGCACTGTTTTGTAATTTTCATTGTAAAGATGGTTCACCTCCCTGGCTAGTTGTATTCCTACATATTTTACGCTTTTTGCGGCTGTTGTAAATGGGATGCATGCCGCCTATTTTTAATGAATGTACCTTCTTGGTAGAAAAGTGTAAAAAATTTGTAAAAACAAAACCAAACAAAAACCCCAAACAAACAAATAAAAAAACAATGTTGGTGAGGATGTAGAGAAATTGGAACCCTCATACATTGCTGGTGGAAATGTAAAATGATGTAGCCACTGTGGAAAACAGTTTGGAAGTTCTTCAAAAGTTAAACATAAAGTTAACATATGACCCAGCAATTGTACTCCTAGGTATATACCCAAGAGAAATGAACATATATGTTCATGAAAAACTTTGTACATTTATGTTCATAGCAGTATTATTTAAAAGAGCCAAAACTGAAAACAACCTAAATGTATATCAATTGATAAATGGATAAAGAAAGTGTGATTCCATACAATGCAATATTATTCAGACACAAAAAGGAAGTGTTGACCCTTACTACAACAGGTATTAACCTTGAAAACATGATGCTGGGTGAATGCCAAACACTAAAGGCCAAACAGTGTACCATTCCATTGATATGAAATGTCCAGAATAGCAAATCTACCAAGATGGAAAGTAGAGTAGTGGTTGCTAGGGGCTTGGGAAATGGGGAAAGGGGAGAGTTTGATCATTGGTCTAGGGTTCCTTTTTGGTGTGATTAAAATGTTCTGGAATTAGATACTGGTGATCGTTGCACAACTTTGTGAATATGTGAAAAAAAACCTCACTGAATTGTACTTTTAAGGGATTGCTCTTATGATGCATGAATCATGTCTCTATTTTAAAAAGAACTCTAAAGTCCTAGAAAAAAAAAAGAAATAAAATTATCTGGCTGTTCTGGGACTGCTATTTCTCCTAAAATATCTTCTTGTATTCAGTAACCCTACTACTTCTCTGAGTAGACACCTGCCCAGGTGCTTCTGAGTCAGATTTCTGTGGGATGAATTGATGTTGAGCATTCTCCCTGGGATCCCCTTCCCCTAGCATTCATGTTGGTGTGTCAACAACATCACACAACATCACACACCCTCTCCATTCCAAATACCACAGACAGGATTTACACAAATCATCTGTGTGAATGTTACCAGTGGAAGGGATACAAGTTACCAGCGGTGAATCTATAAGGGTGTGCAGCAACTTCAAGAATTCGACTGAGGGGCAGAAGTCAGAAAAAGAGGCTGAGGCAAGTTGCAGAGGAGGAGTGGAAGTTTATTAAAAAGCTTTAGAGCAGGAAAGAAAGGAAAGTACATTTGGAAAAGACGCAAGTGGGCACTGAGAAGGTCAAGTGCAGCGTTTAACCTGGATCCTAGGACTTCAGAGGCTGGCCTCCTGCTGGTGCCTTGCACCCCTTTCCCATGATTCTTGCCTTAGGCTGGAAAGCCTGCATGAATAATGCCCTCCTTACCCTTGGGAAGTGAGCTCATGCAGTGTGTTTAGGAAGTTGTGTGCAAGCCCATCCGAGGCTTTCTTCCCTTTTCTGGTGGTGCACCCCTGGAATGTCATATTCTGCCATTTTGTCTCTTACTGCACATGGCCGGGAATTTGCTTCCTCCTGGTGTCTGCATTCAATTAACACTTTAGTTCTGCATCCTTGGATTTCAACCAACCACAGATCAAAAATATTCAGAAAAGAAAAAATAAAATAAAACAACAATAAAAAATACAAATTAAAAAATACAGTATATAACAACTATTTATATAGCATTTACAATTGTATTAGATATTATAAGTATTCCAGAAATGATTTCAACTATACAGGAGGATGTATGTAGTTATACACAAATACTATGCCATTTTATATCAGGGACTATAGCATCTGCAGATTTTGATATTCTTTGGGTGTCCGGGAACCAATTCCTTGGGGATACCAAGGGATGACTATAATGTGATCATGTAACCAGGAGAGTGCATTAGCTAGGGTGGAGGAAGTCAAAAACCCCGCATTCACACGCTTCAAATATTGTGGGTTTGCTTGCTCAACATCCATTTCAACTTTTCCTAAGGTGCCTCCCTGTTTGCAGAGACTGGAAAACTAAAACCTGCATTTTCAGATTCCTTAGCAGCTAAAGTTCTCATATGATTTAGATATAGGTTTCCACAGTCAGATGGACATGTATGAGATCTGGAAATGGAACATTTGTAAAATGGGGATAATAATAATACCTATCTCATTGAGTTTGATGTGAGAGAGATATATATAAATACTACATATACATTGTATTCTCTCAGTCTATGTAATATGCTATATATAATATAAACTATATGTAGTATAGTCAAGTAGTAGCATATAGTGAGTATAGGTGTATATATGTATATACAACACATACATATCTAGTCTATACTATATGTAATATATATTTTATAGAGTATAGTGTATATATACTTATCTATACTAGGTATAGTATATATAACCACCATATGTAGTATGGTGTATGTTGCATACATATGTGTATGTATACACACACACACAATTATCTCTTGATATCTGTGGAGGATTTTTTCCAGAACTCCCTGTGGATACCAAAATCCACAGATGCTCAAGTCCCTTATATAAAATAGCATAAAATAATACATCCTTGTATATATGCTATGCATATCCTCCTGTATACTTTAATCTCTCAATTACTTATAATACCCAATACAATGCCTACACATCACTTCATCCATATAGATTCAACATAGCACTTGGCATGCGGTAAATTTTGCTTTTTGGAATTTTGTGGAATTTTTATTTTTCAAATATTTTTGATCTGTGGTCAGTTGAATCCATGGATGTGGAATCCACAGATATGATGGGCTGACTGTCTCTCCCTCTCTGTCTCTCTTTCTCTCTATCTATATATAATAGAGTGCCTGGCCCATAGTAGGCAGCATATATGTTTTAGCTATTATTAGCTATTTTTAAAAATTACATATTTATAAGGTATAGTTTAATGTTTTGATACATTTATGTGTTGTATGCTGACCAAGTCAGGGTATTTTTTGTTTCCATGACCTCATGCAGATCTGCTGGTGATGGAAATCTAAAATGCAGCCAAGCTTGGAAACCACTGGCATTGGGCCTTAATCTTGGTAAGGAACTTGGGCTTGAATGCAATCGGAAGATGCTAAAGGGCTTTAAGCAAGGGAATAATATGACATTTAAAAAATATTTCTGGCCGGGCGCGGTGGCTCAAGCCTGTAATCCCAGCACTTTGGGAGGCCGAGACGGGCGGATCACGAGGTCAGGAGATTGAGACCATCCTGGCTAACACGGCGAAACCACGTCTCTACTAAAAAACACAAAAATCTAGCCGGGCGTGGTGGCGGGCGCCTGTATTCCCAGCTACTCGGGAGGCTGAGGCAGGAGAATGGCGTAAACCCGGGAGGCGGAGCTTGCAGTGAGCCGAGATCTTGCCACTGCACTCCAGCCTGGGCAACAGAGCGAGACTCCGTCTCAAAAAAAAAAAAAAAAAAAAAAATTTCTAAGAGATAGCTCAGGCTTCAGTGTAAAAAGACAGGAAGTGGGGAAGGAGAAGGAGGAGGAAAAGAGTCAAGTGGTTATAGAAGCCAAGTAGAAGATGATGGTGGTTATGCAGTTTTAATAGAAACAAGAGAAAAACAGCTGGGTTTGTGATATCTTTTGGAAATGGATTTCACCAATAGTACTGATAGATTGGATGTGGGTAGCTGTGATGGTTAATTTTTTTTTTTTTTTTTGAGACGGAGTCTCGCTCTGTCGCCCAGGCTGGAGTGCAGTGGCAAGATCTTGGCTCACTGCAAGCTCCGCCTCCCGGGTTCACACCATTCTCCTGCCTCAGCCTCCCGAATAGCTGGGACTACAGGCACCCGCCACCATGCCCGGCTTATTTTTTTGTATTTTTTAGTAGAGACGGGGTTTCACCATGTTAGCCAGGATGGTCTCAATCTCCTGACCTTGTGATCCGCCTGCCTCGGCTTCCCAAAGTGCTGGGATTACAGGCGTGAGCCACCACGCCTGGTCTGTGATGGTTAATTTTAAGTGTCTACTTGACTGGATTAGGAATATACAAAGAGCTGGTAAGGCATTATTTCTGGGTATTCCTGCAAGGGTGTTTCTGGAAGAGATTGATGTTTGAATCAGCTGGCAGTAAGGAAGATCCACCCTCAATGCAAGGGGTGCCTATCCAATTGCTGAGGGCTTGGATACAAAAAGACAGAAGAAAAGATAATTCCCGCTCTTCTTCTGAAGCTGGAACGCCATTCTTCTCCTGCTGTTGAACATCAGAACTCCAGGTTCTCTGGCCTTTGGACTCCAGGACGAGCACCAGCGTTTCCCCAACCCCTGCTCCACACCCTCCAACTCCGAGTTCTCAGGCATTTGGCCTGAGAAAGAGAGTTACATCATTGGCTTACACCTGGTTCTGAGGTTTTTGAACTTGGATTGAGCCATGTTACTGGCTTCTGGTGTTCTCCAGCTTGTAGACAGCCTATCTAGGGACTTCTCAGCCTCCATAATTGTAATCATTTGAGCCAATTCCCATAATAAAACTTCTATCTATCTATCTATCTATCTATCTATCTATCTATCTATCTATCTATCTATCTATCATCTATCTCTATCATCATCATCAATCAATCAATCATCTATCCATCTATCCTACTGGTTTTGTCTCTCTGGAGAACTCTGAATGATAACAGTAGGTTAGACTAGATGAAGTAAATCAAAATCTCTGGGGCATCTCTGACAGCATATGTGTCTCCCAATCACATTTGCATGGGTTCTGCTAGATCACAAGGCTCAAGTGGCAGGATAGTTTGCTCCACAACCTTGACCTTCTGTAAAGATTTTTCTTGCTCCAGGTCTGACTCAGCACTATCATCCTAATGTGTTACTTGGCAAATGGATTGTAGCAGCATGCCCAGAAGTTGAGTATGTTGCCTCTGAAATCCAATAATTTTCACCAAGCATTGGGTGTCTCTTCATAGTGAATGGTACAAGATGCAAAGCAAGGAAACATGTCTAACTTTAGAGGGAATAGCCCAATATGCCCTATACTGCTGGAACCCTAGAAACTTCATGGTGTATCAGGCTCCTGAATTTTCAGGAAGTCTACCTCCTAACTTTTGGTGTCCACATATCTGACCAAGGAATCTAGAGTAGTCACTACTACTTCCTGATCACAGGTCCAGTGAACATAATGTCATCAATTTAGTGGGTCAGTGTGACATTCTGTGCAACATCAGGACAATCAAGGTCCCTGAAAACTATTGTGACAGAAAACAGGAGAAGTGAAATAGCTCTGGGCCAAGGTGTTAAAGTATACTACTTCCTACCTTCTAAATACATACTGTTTTTGATTCTCCTTATGGTAGGAATGAAAAGAAGGCATTTGCCAGATTAGTAGCTGAATTTAGGTGCCAGGGGCTTCACTGATCTACTCCAGTAAAGATTTGCAACTCAAAACTGACAACATTTGCCACAATTGACATCAATATTTAGGATCTGTCTGGCATCTGCACTAGCAAAATGGGTGAGTTCAATGGGGAATTATGGTGGGAATCACACAATTGCACCTATTGATTCTTTTGATGATGTTCCCAATCTCTACATTTTCCCCTGGCATTGCTTTTGGCTTACTGTTTTGGTGAGAGTCGGTTTATTCTGTAATAGCCCTTCCACCATGGGTCAGGGAATCAATGTGGTGTTTATCTCTGCCAGTTCTAAGTATATTTATTTCTTCTGTACAATCTGGGATTTTTCGGGAGAGGGGACAATGAAATATGTGTTTTAGGCTGTGATGGATAGGCTATGAGATGGGCAAGGGAAAAGACGCTGTTACCTGACTTTCTTAAACCTCCTCTTTGACCCATGGATGATGGTGGCAGTTTGGGTGTCCAGAATTAATGTTACTTCAGAGCCAATATCCAAGAATTCATAAAAAGTCTGCATATTTCTCTTTCTCTGGTTCATAGTCATCCTGGTAAATTGCTGCAGGTTTTGGAGGGAAGGCTTGGGAAGATTCTTGGTATACTCTTATTAGTCAAATTGTAGGTCCTTCCTCAAAAAGATCTGGCCTCTGTTTCAGTGAAGGGGCTCCCTGAGCTGGCTCAGGGAACTGAGTAAAATGCTATGAATTCTCCCTTCTGCAACTCAAGTATGTGTTTAGCAGACCTAAAATTTTTTTGCGTGTGTCAACAGCCTCTCAGTAAATGACCTAACTGTTTTGTCTCCTTTCTTTCTTTTCTAGAGCCTGTGGATCAGTTAGTCACTGCTACAGATCCCTGTGCATCAAAGCACTCTGATTCTCTGGCTTACTATAGTAAGGGAGCTCACCTAGTGGTTAAATGCTATTACTTGGTCTCTACACTCCAAGATCCCATTATTCTCAATGAGGTCAAAGAACCCAATTCCACTGGGCATTTTTATTGTCATCTCCAGTTTGCAGAAAACAGGTAACACAGAGCTCTTCAATGATGTGAGTGTCCCCACACCAAAATATCTGTAAATGTCTTGGTGAAGGGGTCCTCTGGACCCTCCTTGGAAGCATGGTTCCAGCATTCCCTATATCCCTGAGCCTTTAGACTCCGTTTTCTATGGCATGCCTAGTAAACTCAAGTATTCTGATCTCATTAACTATAAACCATCGTCAAATCCAGGCTTCTGTGAACACCTCCATTAGTTGTAGACCATGAATGTAGGCATTATTAATATGTTGGCTCTCTAATGCTCAGATGAGTACATTTAATCTTGAATTCCAGGTTAATGTATCTATGTCAATGAATTCAGCTGGATAGAGCCTTACATTCCTTCTCCCTAAGAGTCCACTCCTGTATCTGCTGTTTGGGCTCCTGCCAATACAGATTGGTGAGGGATCTTAATTCTTTGAGTTTATAGGCCATTTCCTTCTGGAGCAGGCCTTGTACCATGTGGCCTTATGGGCCTAGAGACAATGAGATGTGCAGAAGAGGACTGGTTTCTTTATATAGGGGTAGACTGCTTATTCTAGAAAGTGAGGCTTAGAGGAATTTGGAGGTTTAAATCTCATCCATGTCTGCCAGAATGTTCCCATCTTAAGTCTCAGGGTCCACTCCTTCCTCACCAGTGCACTTATCTTAGATTGAGAGAGGGTTGATCATTTCCTTGGCACTGCCAACTTGGCAAGCCTTGTAGATAGTCCCTGGATCTGGTTTTCAGTCATAAGTGCCCTGTGACTTCAGGACTCCTTCAAAATTGCCATTTTTTTTTTTTTTAGACGGAGTCTCGCTCTGTGGCCCAGGCTGGAGTGCAGTGGAGCGATCTCGGCTCACTGCAAGCTCTGCCTCTCGGATTCATGCTATTCTCCTGCCTCAGCCTCCTGAGTAGCTGGGACTACAGGTGCCCGCCACCACGCCCGGCTAATGTTTTTGTATTTTTAGTAAAGACAGGGTTTCACCGTGTTAGCCAGGATGGTCTTGATCTCCTGACCTTGTGATCCGCCTGCCTCAGCCTCCCAAAGTGCTGGGATTACAGGCATGAGCCACCGTGCCTGGCCAAAAAAAATTGCCATTTTTAAATTGTACTTTTCACAGCCAAGTGACTCTATAATCTTTGTAATTGCTATTGTTTCCATAGAGACTAAAGGCCACAGCCCCTTGATTCCTATGGCCTCACCCTCCACCTGAAATTTTTTTTTTTTTTTTTTTGGAGACAGGTTATTGCTCTGTTGCCCAGGCTAGAGAGTAGTGGTATGATCATGGCTCATTGTAGCTTTGAACTCCTGGACTCAAGCAGTCCTTCTATCTCAGCCTCTCAAGGAGCTGGGACTACAGGTGTGTGCCACTACACTTGATTAATTAAATTTTTTTTTTTTTTTTTTTTTTTGTAGAGACAGGATCTCGCTGTGTTACCCAGGCTGGTCTCAAACTCCTGGCCTCAAGCAATCCTCCTGCCTCAGCCTCCCAAAGTGCTGGAATTATAGGCATGAGCCACCATACCCAGCCACCTGAACTTCATCTAGTGCTACTTACCACTGAAGATAATTTGAGTAATCATGATGCTGCCATTTGCCAAGATTATCCATGCTCCACTCCCCATCATTAAGAAAGTTATTCTCATGATGAACCGAGTAAATTTAGTTCCAGAATCCTGATCTGAGAACTAGTTTCCTGGAGCCACTGCTACTAGCAACTACAGTTTAGTCCAGTACTGTCCAATAGAAATATGTGAGCCACGAATGCTTTTTGCCACTTAGGTAATTAAAAATATTTCTAATAGCCAGATAAAATAATGAGATAAAATTAATTTTAATAATACATTTAATTAATCCAATAGATTCAAAATATGATTTCAATATGTAATCAATATAAAACATTATTAATGAAATGTTTGTTCTTTTTCATATTAAATCTTTCAGCTGTGCATTTTAGACATATAACACATCTTAATTTCATCTAGCTTCATTTCAAGTGCTCAATAGCTGCATATAGCTACCATATTAGACAGTGCAGATTTAGTGAGATGGTTATTAGATAAAGGTTTAATAACAGAACTATTTACACAGATGAAGGTAGTGGGGAGAAACTGGGGGCTAGTAACAGAACTGCCACTACCCCTCAGCCTCCAGCACCACGATACACTCCAGCTCACGTTCTGAGGAAGCTTGGAACACGGACTGCAGGGTGTCCAAGAGGTAGCTCCCACGAGGATGCTGCATTGAGGCAATCCCCATGGTCAGCAGTCTTGGGGGAGAGATGAGGCACATGAGCACTTCAGGCTGGTGAAGAATTCCTAGGACTCTCCTCCCAGGTCTTCCCCTTATGCCGATCCCAGTGACAATTCACATTCCTTTTCCTGGGGCATGTAGTCCAGATGGGAGATTAATATCTGATCAGAAATTGTGATGTGGGCCGGGTGCGGTGGCTCACACCTGTAATCCCAGCACTTTGGGAGGCCGAGGTGGGTGAATCATGAGGTCAGGAGATCGAGACCATCCTGGCTAACATGGTGAAACCCCATCTCTACTAAAAATACAAAAAAATTAGCTAGGTGTGGTGGCGGGCGCCTGTAGTCCCAGCTACTCGGGAGGCTGAGGCAGGAGAATCGCGTGAACCCGGGAGATGGAGCTCGCAGTGAGCCAAGACTGCGCCAGCCCGGGCAATAAAGCAAGTCTCCGTCTGGCGGGGGTTGGGGGGGGGGAAGAAATTGTGATGTGGTTTTATTTAGTCAAAGTATTGGGGTCAATACTTTGGAAGGCTGTTGGGGAAGCTTTGTGAAGGGCAAGGCTCTCTCTCATGGGCAAGGCTGCTGGGTACCAAAGGCAAATTTGCTGACTTGGCAAAATATCTTAGCCTGGCCTTGACCTTCAATTATCTCAGCTACCACAGGTCAACCTGTGGATTAGAGGATCTCTGGAAATCTATGTAAACCCAAGAGTCCAGCAGTCTAGTGCACTGAGACCCAAAGTCCACAAGTTGCCCTCTACCCAATACCTTTTCCCACTGCTCCCTCTGGCTCCTCTCCCTTCCTGTCTTCCCCTCCCTAGGGGCCTACCGTGACTGAGCTTCACTATGGAACAGCTCCTTCCTGGGGTCACTATGGCCTTTCTGTCCTGTTGGTGATTCAAGGGGTGACCAAGGGGAGGAAAACACACCAAATTCCACAGCATGGCCCTGCCTCAGAGCACACTCTTTCCTTGCCACATGCTGGTTGCTTACCTTTTTGACCCTCCTTCCCTTTTCTGGCTAAAATACTCTGTCTGGTCCTCTCCCAGTCAGACCACTCCCTCCCAGGTACTCACTCTTTTCCTGGGGAGGGGCTCCAGCCAGGAATTGGTAGCTGGCATGCTGGAGAAGAGGGGAGTCTCTCTGCATCTCCTTGAAGGTTCACAGATGGTTCTTACTTTCGTAGTTGATTTGTTTGACAGCTATTTGCCAAGCTATGTCCTCCTTTTCCTTCTGAGGATAAGATATGTCAGTCCTGAGGTTCACCCCCAGATTCTCTGGAGACAATTGAGGAGCAGATCTCCCTTTTAGGACAGGTTGGGCAAGCCCCAGCTTCCTGTGCCCAGGGAAGCCGAGTGTGGGGCTCAGGTAACCGCTCTCCCCACCTCATCATGAGAACATGCAGGGCTTTCCAGCACCAGCCATGGGTCCTGAGTTGGGAAGTGGGGCTCCCAGGTTTGTGTGGAGTGCCTGCGGGAAGGGCCAAGGCTTGTGTGGAGAAAGCACTTGCCTGACCCCACCGTTGTCAGGCTGGCCAGTGTCATCTACCTCGGCTTAGGCCTGGGCTAGGTTCTGTGAGATGTGCTGGTGCCCAGTGCCTGGCCCTGTCCTCAAGGAACATAGGCCCCGGTGCCTCAATTCTAGAGTCCTTTCTTTTGCTCAAATCTGACCACGCACACATTTCTGAACCACTCCCCACACCTGCCCTGTGCTTAGCTCCAGTTGGTCTGAGGTGTTTTATGAAAAATGTGGATTTCGAAGCCTGGCCAGGAATTGTGTGGGGTTTGGTCTTCTCACTTGCAGATGTTGTCCACTTAGGGAAGCTATTTCCAATCCTTCATGTGAGAAATAGGAAAAATAACATCTCCATGCTAGGTTCTGGTCGGGAAGTGGCCAGCACCCAGGTCCTCATCGCCTGCTGGTCCTGCCAGTCAGCCTGGTAGGATATGCACTGCCCTCTCCACACCTGGAGTCCCCTTTCTTCCTCCCTGCTCCTAGTCAAATCCCACTGATATATCAGGGGACAGTGGAAAGTGGCTGTTTTAAATTCAGGAATTTAGAAAGTAACTGTGAATCAAGCTGATAGTGTTGGTTTTGAATGCTTTTTTTCAATAATACAGAAGTCCTTTGCAGAGTTTTTGAGGGAAAGCTATAGGAAGTCTCTATCACTCCTATTCCATACCCCTCTGGCAAGCAGGTTTCTTAGTAACCACAAATCAGGCATCTAATCGTCAGTTGTCTCCTATGTCTGGTACTACTCTGTTTTACCCTGGAAATGTCCCTTTTCTTCATCTATACTTCTCTACTGTCACCATTGATGGTTATAACAAATTACTCATTTATTTCTTTCATGGGTTAGCAATTTACAGAAAGTGAATTGCCTTTTTTTTTTTTTTTTGAGACAGGGTTTTACTGTGTTGCCCAGGATGGAGTGCACTGGTGTGATCTTGGCTCACTGCAACCTCTCCCTCCTGGGCTAAAGCCATCCTCCTACCACAGTCTCCCAAGTAGCTGGGACTACAGGTGTGCACCACCATGCCTGGCTAATTTTTTGTATTTTTAGTAGAGACGGGGTTTCACCACATTAGCCAGACTGGTCTCAAAAACTCCTGATCTGACCACCTCGGTCTCCCAAATTGCTGGAATTATAGGCGTGAGCAACTGTGCCCAGCCATCTTTTCTTAAGGAAAACAAAACAAAATTATTTCACTTCCATTTATGTTTATAAAAAAAAATTATTCTGTCTTTACTTCTCTTTTCTAAGAACATTTACAGTGATTCTAGAGTTTCTCACATAGATGGAGCCTAAATGTTGACTTTTATTTAGCTATTTTCCTATTTAATAATTGAAAATGGGTTCCACTATCAGGTTCTGGTACTCACCAACAGAAGTTTACATTCAGCATTTTGGATTTTCTCATGGAGGAAGAAGCTCAAGAGGAATAAGGATATAATTGCTGTAACATATTTCCCAAAGCAATGGTGCATGCTGCCAGGGGTTGGATGTAGCTCTGCAGAGAAATGTTGGCAGCACATGGATCTTAAGTACCTCCTCCTCAGAGAAGCACACCAGCGCCATTTTCTTACCCTTTCCCCTTCTGTTCCTACTTCAAGGTATCACTGGCTTATTCTTTCCTGAGCTTTCTCCTTCTGCCTACTAACACCTCTCACCCCAAATTTTTGTTATCTAAAAACGGCAAAAATTGTCATCTAAATGGCCTTTGAAAAGGCCAAGGAGCTTGATTCTATTTATTCTTTACAATCTGTACCTTCCTCATCGGTTTTCAGATGTATTCTTATTTTCTAGTTTTTTAGAACAGGAAGTTAACTAAAGATGCCTTTATTCATCTGCTTAAGCCAAGGATACGTCTTAGGAGGACCATGCAATAGAACAGAAGAACCCTCTTGGAGTAGGGATCCAACCAGAAGAGGTGTTGTACCAAGGAAAGGAAACCAAAATAGAAGGTAAAAGGCCCAAGTATGATCCTTTCAAATCCCACATCTCCGCTAAACCTCTCCTCTACTGTCTCCCAGCCATTATGCTGACTGATTCCTCAAGGCTTACCCTTCCAAACTCATGTTTGGTTGGGGCAGTAGAATTTTTGTAGGAACTTCTACCTCACAGTCAAGTAAAAAATCGGTATTTGAGTATAAGCCCTTCATTGCATGTGCCACATTTCCAAGGCAAATATTAAGGTAGCAAGGAAAATGGAAACTAACTGGAAGTTTCTAACCATGTGAAAATTCTCACAATAATCAGAGCAGTATGTCCACTGGTCTGGCTCTTGGATCACACACTGACAAATATAATTTGAAGTTCCTCTGAAAGCGGGGATTTTTCTGAAACTAAAAATAGAACAACCTTAGTGTCTGAAGGGCAGGGCTCTGACTGCACAGAGTAGGTGAAGCCACTGAATGTCTCCTATAAGACAGCCAAGCCTGGTCAACACTCCCAGAAGACACTACCTAGCAACCACTGTTCTTTCTGAATGGGGAGCAGGCAGCTCACCATCTCCCCCATCATTTGTAAGTGAAGGTTAGATTTTGGTGGTGAGAAATGTTAACACCAGCTTTCTAGCTGTGGTAACTACAGAAACTCTCTTTAAATATTCCATTTGCTCCTCTATTCCTGGCCCCCTTGCAGTTAGGTGAGGCCACAATACTAACTCTAGTCAATGAAAAATGAGTGGAAATTAGTATGTGTCCTCTCTGGGGTAAGACAGTAAAAAACCTCCATGAAATTCTCCATTTTTTTCTCTTCCCTTGCTCTGGTGACTAAGTTGGCTATGCATTCCAGATGGCATAGCTGCAACACAGTGGAGCATCTGTCAGCCTAGTTCCCTGAGTGACTATATGGAGCAGAGTCAACACTCCTTCCTTAAATCTGGATGAGACATGTAATTCGGGGGAGAAATAAACTTTTATTGTCTTTAACCACTGAGATTTGGGGTTGTTTGTGACCACAGCATAACTTAACTATTCTGATTTAATCCAGTATTTTAGAAATTGTTTAGAATGCAATTCTATCACTTTGAATTACATTGGCAGGTTTCGAATAACACCTTCAACAACTTAGAAAGCCCTCATGGAGAATTGTAAAGAAGAGCTACAGGGAGGTGATGAGTCTTTCTTCATTACTCTCATTCCACATCCCCTTTCCATATTACTCTCTTTCCACATCCCCTTTCCAGGTTAAGATCAGGCCCTATGGGTTAGTAGATCTCTTAGTTACCACAAATTGGTCATTAAACCTCTTTTCTTTCCTAGCCCCCTTGATGTTAATGTTTGACCCAAAAAATTTCCATATTCTTCCTCTGCTCTTCTTCAGTTTTATCACTGACATCATCCCACTTTTCCCCTGGCCTTGTGGAATTTTACTGTATTTGTGCATGGCCCAGTAGTCTTGACTTGAGGAAACTCATATGCAGATTTCTGGAGTTCTTTTTCCTGCATAGTTCTCTCTTTCCTGGAATTCTGCTCTGTAATGTCTGTGGTTCAGAAATTACCTCAATGCAGAAAGCCAGGGGAACTGTAGGCTTACTTTGTGTCTGTCCTTTCTCCCTTGGGTTACTTGTTGTTCAATGTCCGAAGGCATTTTTTTCTTATATTTTAACCAATTTTCTAGTTGTTTATAATAGGAAGTTTAACACCAGTTCTAATTATCCCATAAAGATCCTAAATTCAACTTTTAAATCTAAAAAAGTCTACAATTATAGATGAGCTTTACTTAGTGATAGTATTATTTTGCTAAAGGCACATGTACAAAACTATAGCATTATGCTGTGGGTCATGACTCACTTGAGACTGAGATAAATAAGCATCTTTTTCCTCTTCCTCTTCTAATTTTCCTTCTCCTACCCCTTCCTCCTTTTTCTCCTTAGTCTTTAAAAAAAGTTTCCTCATCTTCTTTCTTTTCTCTCAACCAAAATGCCTCCTTTAAAACAATTTATATACAAGTAAAAATGAGCATAAAATTTCCAGTATAAAACACAATTATTAGTCTAAGAGCTAGCATTATTGTAACTTTGGTTTGAGACTCCACATCTTGTTTTCTACATCATTTTAGAGAACTAATACATTAAAAAAAAAAAACAATTATTAGTCTATGTTTTTGGACACACAATGTACAAAGATATTTTATGATATCAATAGCTGAAAGGGGTGGGGAGCCAACAGTATAGGAGCAGAATTTTTGTATCTATTGAAGTTAAGCTGGTATAAATTCAAATTAGGTGTCATAACTTCAGGATGTGAAGTGTAAAATCCCCATGGCAACCTTAAATAAAATGGTTATAGAATATACACAAAACGGAATGAGAAGAAAATTAACCATTTTCTGTGGGAAAAGAAAGAGAGATCAGACTGTTACTGTGTCTATATAGAAAGAAGTAGACATAAGAGACTCCATTTTGTTCTGTATTTGAGATGCTGTTAATCTGTGACCTTACCCCCAACCTTGTCCTTGCAAGAGACATGTGCTGTGGTGACTCAAGGTTTAACGGATTTTGGGCTGTGCAGGGTGTGCTTTGTTAAACAAGTGCCTGAAGGCAGTATGCTTCTGAAAAGTCATCACCATTCTCTTAATTTCAAGTACCCAGGGACACATACACTGCCGAAGGTCGCAGGGACCTCTGCCTAGGAAAGCTAGGTATTGTCCAAGGTTTCTCCCCATGTGATAGTCTGAAATACGGCCTCGTGGGAAGGGAAAGACCTAATTGTCCCCCAGCCTGACACCCGTGAAGGGTCTGTGCTGAGGAGGACTAGTATAAGAGGAAAGACGGCCTCTTTGCAGTTGAGATAGAGAAAAGCATCTGTCTCCTGCCCGTCCCTGGGCAATGGAACATCTCGGTGTAAAACCCAATTGTGTGTTCTGTTTACTGAGGAGAAAATCACCTTAGGGCTGAAGGTGGGACGTGCTAGCGGCAATGCTGCTCTTTATGCACTAAAAAGGTTTATGGAGATGTTTACATATGCATATCAAGGCACAGCACTTTTCCTTAAACTTATTCATTCACAGAGATCTTTATTCATATGTCTTACCGCTGACCTTCTCCCTACGATGATCCTATTATCCTGCCACTTCCCTTTTTCTAAGATGGTAAAGATAATGATCAATAAATACTGAGGGAACTCAGAGATCGGTGCTGGCGCGGGTCCTCTGTATGCTTAGCGCCGGTCCCCTGGGCCCACTTTTTCTTTCTCTATGCTTTGTCTCTGTGTCTCATTTCTTTTCTCAAGTCTCTCATTCCACCTAACGAGAAACGCTCACAGGTGTGGAGGGGCAGGCCACCCCTTCACTAGTCTACTTCTATGAGAGTGACTACTGAGGTACCCCACTCGACATACTAAAATTTTGTCATAGCTTATTAAGGAACTATATTCTAGGACTTCCCTTTAGAAAAGAAAGAAGGAGTCACAGAAGGAAATTGGAAAATACTTAGAGATAAATGAAAATGAAAATACAACATACCAAAACTTAGAGGATGCAACAAAAGCCATGTGGAGGGGTTTATTTATAGCTATAAATTCTCATATTTAAAAAGAAGATCTCAAATCAACAACCTTACAGTTTCAAGAACTAGAAAAAGAATAACAAAATTCAAAGCTAGCAGAAGGAAGGAACTAATAAAGATAAAAGGAGAGATAAACAAAATAGAGAACAGAAAAATAATAAAGAAAATACGATGATTCACACCTGTAATCCCAGCACTTTGGGAGGCCGAGATGGGTGGATCACTTGAGGCCAGGTCAAGACCAGCCTGGCCAATGTAGTGAAACTCTGTCTCCGCAAAAAATGCAAAAATTAGCCAGGCATGGTGGTGCACATCCATAATCCCAGCTACTTGGGAGGCTGAGGTGAAGGGATCGCTTGAACCCGGGAGGCAGAGTTTGCAGTGAGCTGAGATTGCACCACTGCATTCCAGCCTGGGTGACAGAGCAAGATTCTGTCTCAAAGAAAAAGAAAATAAAGTAATTCAAAAGTTGTTTTTTGAAGAGACCAACAAAATTGAGAAATCTTTAGCTAGACTGAGTAAGAATAAAAGGAGAGAAGACTAAAGTACTAAAATCGGAAATGAAAGTGGGACATAACTATTGATTCACAGAAATAAAAAGGATTATAAGAAAGTATTATGAACAATTGTTTGCCAACAAATTGGATATCCCAGATTAAATGGACAAATTCCTAGAAACACAAAACCTACCAAGACTGGATCATTAAAAAATAAAAACTATGAGTTGACTTATAATTAGTAAGATCTAACCAGTAATAAAAAAATCTCCTGACAAAGAAAGCCCAGGATCTGATGGCTTCTCTGGTGAATTCTACCAAACACTTAAAGAACTAACATGAATCCTCAAGCTGTTCCAAAAAATTTAAGAGGAGGAAACATTCCCTAGTTCATCCTGTGAGGCCGGCTGGTTTTTTGTGCCCTGATACCAAAGCTAGCAAAGGTACAATAAGGAAACTACAGATCAATATCCCTTTTGAACATTCATGTAAAAATCCTCAACAAAATACTAGCCAAAAGAATTAAGCAGCATCTTAAGGATTATACACCATGATCAAGGGGGATTTATTCCTGGGTGTAATAATGGATTAACATATGAAAACCAATGTAATACACCATATTAACATAACGAAGGGGAAGAAAACCACAGAATTATCTCAACTGATGCAGAAAAAGCATTTGACAAAATTCAACACACTTTCATTAGAAAAACATTCAACAACCTGGGAATAGAAGACAATTACCACAACATAATAAAAGTCATATATAAAAAATTCACAGTGAACATGAGACTCAATAGTAAAAGGCTAAAAACTTTTCCTGTAAGATCAGGTACAAGGCAAGGATGCCCGCTTTTGCCACTTCTACTCAACGTAGTACTGGAAATTCTAGCCAGAGCAATTAGGCAAAAAGAAAGACAGAAAAAAATCCAAATTTGAAAAGAAGAGCAAAATTTTCTCTGTTTGAAGATGATATGATCTTGTATGTACAAAGTCCTAAAGATTCTACCAAAAAAACCTGTTAGAATTATTAAACTAATTCAGCAAATTAGCAGGATACAAAATCAACACAAAAACATCAGTTGAATTTGTATTTAGCAATAAACAGAATAAACAGTCTGAAAAGGAAATTAAGGAAAAAGAAATCTATTTATAATACCATCAAAGAGAATAAAGTCCTTAGGAATTCACTTAGCCAAGGATGTGACTTGTACAATGAAAACTAGAATATATTGCCAAGGAAATTAAAGAAAGCATAAATAAATGGAAAGCCATCCTATGTTCATTGATTGGAACACTTAATATTGTTAAGATGTTAATACTTTCAAAGTGATCTATAGATTCAATGCAATACCTATCAAAATCCCAATGATGTCTTTTGCAGAAATAGAAAAATCCTTCCTAAAAATTCGTATGGAATTTGCCTTGAGTAGGTAAAACAGTCTTGAAAAAGAAGAGCAAATTTGGAGGACTCACACTTCCTTATTTCAAAACTAACTATAAAGCTACAGTAATCAAAATGTGTGGTATTGGCATAAAGGAAGACATATAGACTAATGGAATAGAAAAGAAAGCCCAGAAATAAACTCTAACATATAGTCAAATGATTTTTGATAAGAGAGCCAAGACCATTCAATGGGAAAAGGACAGTCTTTTCAACAAATGGTGCTGAGAAAGTTGGATATGCAAGTGCATAAGAATGAAGTTGGATCCTTACCTTACATTACATACAAAAATTAAATTGACATAGATGAAAGACAAACTTGAGAGCGAAAACTATAAAACTCTTAGAAGAAAACATAGGCAAAAGCTTCACAGTATTGGATTTGGCAATGAATTTTTGGATATGACACCAAAGGGGCTGGCAACAAAAGAAAGAATAGACAATTTATACTTTATGAAAATTAAAAGCTTTTGTGCATCA